TGGACGTGGCTCGCTTCGCTTGTAACCTTTTGCATTTGATTTATATAGTCTGTGACTCAGTTTGAGCTCTGGTGCCCTTTGTGGCTTGCACCTGCCAGCTTTGATGAATGCAAAAAACGTCGGCACATCGCGTGATTGGCCAACGTTTGCCGCCTGCTCTAGGCCCTGTTTTATGTAATTTTGACCCTGTCAGCGGGAGAAGCTTTAACATTTAAGCAATTGACGTATGCATCAATTAATCAATAATTTGTTAGCTTGCTGGAATTTCTCGAAATTCTCTTGAATATAGAAAGTTAGATACACAAATGTATTAACATAAACCCAACTTGAAGTCTTTTCTTTTTATTGTCTAGTTTTATGTTTTACTTTGCTTCTCTTTTGATATTCTAAGTTGTTATTGCAACATTTATTTTCTCAGCAATGCTGAGTTTGTCTTGTTTCAAGAATAGCTGTCTTTAAAGAGGAATATGTATGTACATAATTAGGTTTCTTTATTCTTGGAATATATTCAAATGTTCCCCAACTTCTTTGAGTGCTTCTCTTTAGCTATTGGGAAGTATTTCGCAAAAAATGGAGCTACGTAAAAGTTGCGCAAATATTTGCGAGCAATATTCTGATGCATTCAGTTTACCCACAATAAATATATTTTGTTGCTTCTTCATTGTTGACAATCAAATATTTTTGCGTGCTCATATCCATAAGTAAGTACAGCTGGTTGGTAAATAAATAATTTAGCATCTGGTTGGGGTTTTACAATGCAAATTGCGGTGTCAGATAGTTTGTACGATGACAGGCTCAGGCGTATTGACTGAATAATTGTGTTTGCCTGAGAGGTCTTTGCCTCTTTTAGGGCCGCTGCACACGACGGAATTAATTAGTGCGTTGTCTGCGCCGCTAGGTGGCGCCCGGGTGCCAACTCGCTAACTGGAAAATAACTTTTGCTAACTAACTAGCATTATATTCCGTTATGTTTTGTTGCATGTTGCGCATGAAAATTGTTAGGAAATTGTTAAGCGCCGGCCCGGTTAATAAGCCTGAAAACCAAATGCGATGAAAAAGTTTTAATTAACAAGCACTTTGCAGCAAGGCAAATGCCAGCAAGAGCCAAAGCCAGAGCAAAAAGCGTGCACCTCCTTTGTGCCATCGCCATGGCCAGATGCCAGCGAATTCCTGGAAAGTTCAACTGTTGAAATTTCTGCAGCGCATGTGAAACTAGTTTTTAGGGGCCAGCCGAAAGGTAAACATAAACCGGTCTAAGCTGCTTGCGCGCTCGTCTTGGCCTTTAAATCAATCAGCTTCCCGACTTGCCCTGCGCTGGTCCGCTCCGTTACAGATACACGCTCTTTCACAGATACACACTCTCTCACCTTTACATGCCCCTTTTGTACATCCGGTATGTGAAGAAATGCCCAACGACGACGATAAAAATCAAACTGGGACAAGCTTAATAAAAGCTGATACAAAAACATACACATACCATCTCGTATGGTTACACTGGCAGACAAAATTCAGTCGAAAAATATGATAATTAAAACCAGTTTATTTTGTTTTTTTTTTTTCTTACGACCACAACAAAGCAAAACAAAAACTGTAACCGCATGCAGTTCAGCGATCCATAACAATGGACGAAGCTGGTGCACGCCCGCCGGCTAAACAATTTGGGAATTTTAAATACATTTTCAACGAGCAGTTCCTCGTATCACGTAAACAGCAGCAGGGAATATTTCAACGATGCAATAAAACCTATGCCAAATTGAGCAAATTTCCCATGTCACTTATGGGAATTAATATTTTGCCAGCTCCCTGCACTCACATTCGTCTTACTGAGCGCGGCAATGCTGTGTCAGTCTAATGCTCAGCAATAATTAATTTGTAAGCTATACGTTTTATTAAGACTTAAATCGCTTAAATGACATGGAAAATTTTCTATAATGAATATTCGTTCAGCCATAAGTTTTGTATTGTTCACATTCACATCATTCATCTCTGTTAGGGCAATGCAGCAGCTGTTGCAGGCGGAAATGTTAGTTTACATGCTGTTTGCTGCTATGTTAAATAGCCGCTGTGCTGATTGCTCTGCAGACGTTAGAGTGGTGATGTACGTTGAGCTGCGGATCGCGCGCGATGGTGTTTTTAGAGCGCGCGCGCGCTGAGGGTGGGTTCGAGTCCGTTGGACGACGAGTTTTTATAAAAAAAAATGTATCTGTGCCCCTAGGTTTGCTTTGGAATTTGCTGCTCAAAAAGCAATTTCATGTTCACATGGGGCAATAGCAACACGTTTTGTTATCACTCCACGGAGGGTACGCGTTTACTTCATTGTTTAGCGGAGCTCTTCACTAGACTTATAAACGACATTACTTTTTTTTTCTTTAAATAAATGTTCTGTTTATTATGGAACTCGCTACAAGGGGGGGTCTTCGAACCGGGAACCGCGTTCGATCGGTTCATCTGCATTAAAATACAAATATGCGATTTTTTCGTTCAACAATTTTTTTTTTAAATATATTTTTTATTGGTTGAACCTTTTATGTTTTTATATACACTCCTTATAAACTATACTTAATAAATGTTCTAGTTTACAAATTAATTTTAGGATGAAAAATGCATTGACAAAGAAAATACAACAAGATATCATTGAGTAAAATTGAACAGTGACTATTGTTGGGCAGCTACATATTGCATATTTGCTTTCGTGGGGGACTCTCAGGCTTCTATGGCTAAGTACACTTGCAATTTAACTCTTAGATTTAGACGAACTCGTAGCCAATGCCAAACTGGAAACCATTCAAGACCTTGTCAGTGCTCTGCCTACGCACCGGGACACAGTAGTTCAGCTCGATCCGAGCACGCTCGGCCAGTTTTACAGCTAGGCCCAAGCCAAAGGCGCTGCGCATGTTGTCTGCGAATAAAGAAATAGTTGAAGCTGCTCTGAGTTAAGATCCATTGTCTACATACCCGTTGTAAAGGAATTGCTATTGCCCATATTGTAAAAGAAATGCAACCGAAAATGACTAGCCAGGCCCTTGAAGACGCCTGCAAACGGCAACGGTGTCCACAAGTGTGCGCCCGTGCACCAAAACGTTTGTGCACCAATGGGCGTGCCATCGATGACTGGCCCGGCGCCGCCGTACTTGAATCCTCGCAGAGTCAGCGGTCCGCCGCAGTAGAATAGATTGTTAATAGGCAGCACTGTGGTCTTTTTCGTCTCCTTGAGGACGCCGACCCGTGCACAAAATTGTGCCACCAGGCCGGCAAAGAGAGGCACGTTCATCTCCCCGTGCGCCGTGCTGCTGGTGTACGCAATGTTGCCACCCAAGCCGCAATACTCGTTGACGGACTTCAGCAGAAAGCCGCGCGTGGGAAACACGCTGGCATCCCGATTGTCAAAGATGAGCGAATAACGCAGCAGCGATGCCAATTTGGGTCCACTGTGATCGCGAATTGCGAAGGGCACCGACTTGTTCAACAGGCCCACGTCCCTGATGGAGTTCTCATACTGCAGAGAGTGTGTGAGCTGTGTAGAAGTAGAAAGTAGAAAAAGATGAATTACAATTCGGCATTCGAGTTTTTCAGCTATTGTCATTAAGACTCTGTTATGGGTTTTCGTTATCTTTTAACAGCTGTTATGGCAGCTATTTTTAACAGCTGTTTATGGAATTACAGACAAATGTTAACAGCTGTTTTTATATTAATAGACAAATGTTAATGGTTTTGGTTTTTATACCTCTGCAGAAGGTATTATAAGTTTGGCGTTAAATATGAAACGCATTATAGAAATGCAGTTGATCAACTCTGACAAATGCCTGCAATTTTAGGAAATTGTATTATCCTAGTTCAACTTACATCCACGCCCAGCATTGTGTGTGCGCTGAAGTCCAGCAAGTAGCCCAGATTAGTTGTCTGAAACGAGCTGATGTCATATCGATCTGTTTGCCGAAATATGCTGAACGATATCCTATTTGGGCAGAGATTCAAATTAATTATATTAACACAGAGTTTAACTTCTAAGCTATAGAATTGGTGGCTTACTCGGGTCGATTCTCTCGGAAGCGCGTGTGAAAGAAGGGCTTCCAGAATTTAAGCTGCAAATCGTTTGCTCTGGTGCTGCTGTAGCTGCCCTGCAGTGATATGCTCTCGCCGCGGCCCAGTATATTCGGTATGGTCAGCTCCGTGCGCAGGGAGCCCTCGTTCTGGCCAATCTCTGTGCCCGCCGAGCCCATGATGCGTGTGTACTCCTTGCCCTTGAGCGTCACCTCATACCCTTGGGGCGAGGCATCCGCACCGCGACTAATGTCAATGTGCACGCTCACATCCTTGAATATGCCCAGCTCATGCAGATACGATTTGGCCGCCATCGCCTCCAGCATCAGCTGCTGAAAGTTGTTCGCCTTGAACAGCCCCTCGGCGGCGCGCATCACATAGTCGTTGTGGGTGCGGAGCAGGCCACTCACGTTCACCCGATCCACGCGTGCATTTATTTTGCTCAGATCGTATTTACTGTTCGGATCCCTGGGCGAGGACCCGCCATTTGGCGACTTGGACATTTCTGTGGGCTCTTCAGTGGAGGAACTGGTGGGGCAGGTGTTGATGATGTTGGTGTTAGTTGGCTGGCAGCAACTGCAAATAAAATAAACATATATTTACATATTTGTAAGGGAGCCACGCGTGTAACAATATGAAAACAAAACAAAGTATAGTTGAAATAATTTTCATTTCGAAAGTGTAAGCTATAATCCTTAAGCAAACATATTTTAGCAAAGTGATTTTCGTATGTGCAAAAATGCAGGTTTCTTTCTGCTTGGAATACTCTTCTCCTGTTTTTTTTTAGAGCCATAATTTAATGCGACACATGAAATACTTGACGTAACATACTTTTTTGTAATAATATATAAAATTCGAGAATAATCTGTCAAAAATTGGAGTCTCTTTGAATCAAACAAAACAATCAGTTTAAGAAATGGTGTACTGTGTTCCTCATATAAAGATGATCTCGTTTTCAGATTGAACTGGAGAATCTCAATAGTGCTACGGATGAGATTAATAAGCTGGAAATTGAATTGGAGGTAATTAAAGCTTAATGTGCCCCCAAAGGCAGCAGTCAGTAATGTGTTATCCATTCATAGGAGGCGAACTCGACGTTTCGCATACTGCTAAACGAGTCGACACGTCGCTTGAAGCTCTCCTCCAAGAAGCTGGGCAGCTGCATTGAGAAGGCGCGTCCCTACTACGAGGCGCTGGACAAGGCACGCGAGGCCCAAATCGAATGCCAACAGGCGGCAGTCAAATTTCAGCGTGCCAATGGTGACCACATACGCAAATCCCAATTGGAGCTCGTGCTAATGGATAGTGTTTTTTTTTTACAGAAATCCATGCGGCAGCCAAGGAAACGGTGGCGCTGGCCGAGCAGCGTTTCATGTCCAACTCTCACGAATGGCAGTTCGACAATGCCTGGCAGGAGATGCTCAATCATGCCACACAGAAGGTAATGGACGCGGAGAAACAGAAGGCCGACTGCCATGCGGAACATCAGCGACGCACGCGGCTCTTTCACCTCGCCGAGCAGAAGTTGCAGCAGCTGGAGGATCGCTTCAGGCGCAGCATTAACAAATCGCGCCCGTACTTCGAGGAGAAGCAGGTCTGCCAGGATCAGCTGCAGACCCAAAAGAATCGCATACAGGAGCTCCAGCAGCAGGTGGGCTGTGCCAAGACGACCTATTCTACGGCCCTGCGCAATCTGGAGCGCATCAGCGAGGACATACACAGGCAGCGCGGCGATTATCCAGCGTTAAGCGGCTCGCCACCCCCGCCTGGACCACGTGAGCCAGGCGTAGGCGCCGAACTCAATACTCCCACCTCCAGTGCGTTGCCATCGCTGCCAGATTTCCAGCTTGAGTTGGAAAAGTGCGACTATCCATCGATAGCGGGCAGCCAAATGTCTCTGGGCGCTGGCACCGCAACCACACAGTCCGCTGTCGAAACGGAGGACGAGGCGGAGGAGGACAATGTCTGCGACTACGATGATACAGGGCTGGGCAACGAGCTCCGCGGCGTTGTCGATGAACGCCAGTTGGAGGCATTACGCCAAAAGGTCAAAATACTCGCAGTGCGACCCATCGAAGGCGGCGACGGTCAGCAGCAGAATGATGTGTGGGAGCACGAGCTGAAGGATACGGTGGACAAGCTCGATCATCTGATGATGCTTAAGGAAGCCGCCAAGCATCAACAAACCGAGCGTGCCAAGTCCACAGAGCTACGACCAGATTCTCTGGGCGCCGAGGCGCTCAAGCGCCACAGCGACGTGGACGATGTCGATGCCAGAGATGTTGTCATCAAAATCAACACCGCCGTCTCAGTTGCCCACAGCCTGCCCGTCACGCCGCAGCACCAGCACCAGCCCGGCAATCCAGCCAGCTCCATTAAAAAGCTGCAGCAGCATCTGGCGCCCTTGCCATCGGTGAATGTTTCCATGCGAGAGCTGCCCCTGCTAGCGCGGCTCTCCAACGAGCTGCTCGACCGCAGCAGCGCTGCCATGGGCAGCGTGCGCAGGCAGCTGCGACGTCGCTCCCTCGAATAGCAGCAGCGGCAGCTCCTCTCTAGAAACTCTGCGGTCGTTTCGCGTATATCAAATTTAAAGTTAGTTTATATTAAATGAATCGTAAACGTGAACGCAAGTGAATGAAACGCATTTAGTTCACACTGAATATTGAATATTGCCTACAAACATATATATATATATATATTGCATATATATCTACATCTATTTTCGTATCTATTAAGTATCATAAATGTTGAGTAAAGTTGAGTGTCCTGCATTTGTGTGCAAACTTCAAAACAGGCACTAAACAGTAAGCAGCTTTAAGTTAATGTTTAAAACAAAACAAAAACAAAAAACAAACGCAACTCACTTATTAAAGAGCAAACGAAAATGGGCACATGCACTAAATAGTTTAGCCTAAAATAACACAATGAAAAAGAAAAGCGAAAAGAAAAGGGCACCCGTTCGAAAATGAGAAATGCAACTGAAACGAATTCAATTAGCCATTTAGGCGAAATTCTCAAACCTTGTGAAGGATGTAAGTGGAAAAGTGCAAAGTAGTTGGCAAAATACAAGTATTTCTGTGTAGTTACAAAAACAATTTTCAATTTAAAAAATAAAAATTTACATTGTAATTGAAATGCCAAATAGTCTTTCCCTTTGAGACACTGAAAAGCTTTTAGATCCAGAGTCCTAACTGACACACACACACACACACACATATATGTTTTATATTCCTGCGTAGACATGGGATCTGTCTTGTCATAATCGACTAAAGGTTCTGCTGGAAGGAATCCATGCTTAGTTTGTATTCAATATCTTAGCTTCGGTCAAAAGTGCTCCACTAAAGATTTATATAGTATTCAGTATGCAACTCATTAGCTATTGCAGTTTCGGGCGCCTAAGAACTATAATTAAGTATGATGTCACTTGCTGCCTGCAGTTTGACACAAATCTATAGAAGCAAAACAAATTTGGCCCGCAAAAGCCCGAAAATTATGTAAGCCAATGGCTCTGGAAAGACTTACCTGATATTGTGCCACTGCGTTTGCTAGCCACACGCGACAGTCGAATTTGGCGGATTCAGTTAGAAATTTTTATAAAATATAAACAAACTGAAAGGCGCTATTGCCAGACAATTTTTAACAAATTTCTTTCGACTTGAAACGCACGCGTGCGGCACCAACTAATAATCAACTAGAGATGCGAGACATGTGCGATATGTATAACCGTTACAGGCACGTGCACACACATACATCACGAATATCCCATGTCTAGAATGTTACATAATATTATAAATGACGCTATGTTAATATAACATATTGTTGGGCTAGTGCTAAAATATTTTTATTGTTCTATTTATAATAGACAATGGAGAACCTAATATGAGTCATTGATAACATGTCGCGGTATAGTGACTCGAAATATCGCTCATCTCTAAATTCAGCAGCTAGAGACGGCCCGTGAGTCGGGCTACTATCGGGTTCGGCATTTCAATTGTTTATAACAGCTGTTTAAATTTGTTTTTCCCCTAAGCGCTTGAAGTACAAAACAAATACAAAAATATAGTAGCATTGCCATTCTGCAAAAAAAACATGCACATGCATAAGTAAAAGTAATAATACATAATCGCGACGACTAATGTTTAGCTTGTTCATTGCTTTTGTTCATTCAATAATTAAGTTAATTAATTAAGTTCTACTACTGGGAATGGGCGGGCGTTTTCAAATTTATTTTGAAGCTGCATACAATTTTTAAGATTTATTGCTTAGCATTGTTTACTTTGGTGCACTTGATGCCATTTGATTGCAATTTCCGCATTATATCCAGGGCGAGCTGCTTTTTCGCATCTGCTTCGCTGGAACTGTCCATGGCTTCGCGTGTATTGCGGCGCTTGACTTCCACGCCGCATGCACGCAGCTTGTTGAGTATTTGCTGGGTGTCTCCGTTGGCCGTATTGGCCACTGGCATGGGTATGGAAACCATGGGTGGGTTTGCTGCAGTTGGACTGATTGTTGTTGTTGTTGCTGCTGCGTTGGCTGGACGGGCATTTCTCATTGCTTCCAGACGTCTTAGGTCGTCTACGATATTTTGCACAACATACATTTCATTTTTGATTTTAGCTGTCACTGCAGGCATTTCCAAACTGGCGCGCAATTTGTGTTGTTGTTGATTCGTGAGAATGGTGCGCTTTGGCGTGGAGTGTCGCATACGCTTGGCTGGGGATTCGGGCGACTGCGGATGCGGCTGCTTCTCTTTTTCAAGATCCTTTGTTGTTAGACTGCGCGTGCGGCTCTTGGCCACATTTTCTTTGGCATTGGTGGGCGATTGTTTTGCTTTGTTTGGCAGTGTCCGAGTGTCGTCTGTGTACCAGCGCGGATCCTCAAGCTCCGCTTCCCAGTCTATGTCGCAGTTCACGCTGTTTATGTTCCGCACTGCGTCCGGCTCATAGATGAGCAGCTGTAGGGCATAATAATAGTTGTTAGTTGGTTTGCTTATAAAACTTGTGGACACACCCACCTCTTGCTTTCCATTGACGAGCCTTGTCTCCCGCTTCTCCTCGTCATACTGCAGCTCATCAATGGACGTAACTATGTGCTTGACAGCAATGCATTTGCTTAGATGCGTCTGGAATGCCTCCATTGATAAGTAATGTCGCTGACAGGAGCGGCACAGCATTATCAGACGCTTTTGTTGATCATATAGTACATCGCCGAAGCGCACTAGCCGCAGCGATTTAAATTTGCGATTGCCGTTCATTTGTTTCTGTTGTTAATTAGTCGCCGCCAAAAATAGATAATCTTGGCAATATCTTGTTTATGCCTAGTCCTAAGCGTCCGTTTTGCGTTTGATTGCCTATCACGTATTACGATAATTGCTTAATGTGAGAGCCTTTAAGATTGTTTAAATATTAATTGTTTTTGTATCTTTTTCCGAATTGGAACGTAAGTAATTGAACGATAAGTTATTAATGCATGGTCTTGCAATGAGTTCAAATTGCATTCTTACCATTACTTAAAGTTGTCATCACAAATCTCAGTGCATGTTAATTACGACTAAATTATCTCCTCCTATGTTTATTTATATTTATTTTTTAAGTTTGTGAATTAATGCGTTCTGGTAGTAATAATTGGTGGCGGCAGGCTGATACACTCTGCAATTCGAACGATATGCTTTCGATAGGCAGTGGCGGCAAGAAGATTATTAAAGTGCTTGAAAATGCGCCAAGGCCAGTGTTGGTAATCATATTGTATTGATATTGGCGCGCATTTAAATTTCTACTCTGACAGCACTTGCCATTGCTATCTATTTTATGATTTTTCAACTCATGTCAATTTAATTGTCTGGTTTGCTTTTCAGCCTTTTTCTATGCATCGGTTTTATTGTTGATTTTCAATGGCAGTTGGCTTTTGTTGTCATTGATTAACGCCCATGCAATTGAAATTAAATCGCTTGCAAATGATTCGTATGGTTGATGGTGAAACAAAAAACGGCAGCAAATGCGCACCATTTGTTTGCCATTTTTTTTTTTACGAAGCTCTTGTCATACTACAAACATACATATGTACACGGTCTGATTTTGATTCCCTGACTCTGACTCTGTAGAACGCGCAATCCGAAAAAAAAAAACAAAAAATCCCTTTTTAATGTTTTGCGTGTCGCGGCACTTGTGCAATGTACTACTTTTTTTGAACGTTACGTTGCTGCAAGCCGTAAAAAGTGCTGCACATGTTTCAGATCACGTGAACACACGCAGGCACATGTGTCCCTCAGGAAAAAGTCAGACCTATAATCACCTGGCCATCAAGTTTTTAAAGTTGTGCCTCGCCCATTGTTGATATTAACGCTTAAAAATTGTTGGAAAACAAAAACCAATATGCATGTTTAAGGATTGACACTAAGAAAACGCTCCAGCAAACGTAGCAGGCCCGAAAGTAGGAAACACTTCCTGGTAGCAGCAATTGGATTTCGGTAGCATGAAGTTGCCAATGCAGTACCATGCAATTAAGCAAGGGACGACCTGGACCTGTGCCTCTGCCTTACTATGCCCCATCCCCCCCATCCTATATGTATTCCCTGGCCCATCTGCTGCCGTTGCCGTCAGTATGCTGACCATGCAAATTACGTTGCCCACAGACACACACCGACACACACACACCGACACAGAAAAAGGCACGCACATTCACACATATGTGTATGGACACGCAGCCCTGTCACCATTTGGCCGTGCGTTTGAGTGATGCAGAGAGACAGGGAAACCGAGACAGAGAGAAAGAGAAGCTAGTCTGAACCAAAAATCCAACCGATGCCAGTGCATGTAGGGCCAAAGTTAAGTTAAATGGACTTGCGGTGCACTCAAGCAGCCAACACACACGCACACACACGCACACACACACGCACGCACCCGTTTTAAGCAGTCTGAATGTGTGTTTGTGAGGTGCCTGGGCTTGTCCATGTCAAGGTAGCAGCTCGACTAGTAGATTAAATTAAACGCAGCAACAGTGCAAATGCAGCCGACGCAGGAGCAACTGCACCCGTGCACTGGGGCAACAACATTAAACGTGTTTACACCATGTCCGACCAGTTGATATGCCAACTGCTTTGAAATACACACACGCACAGACACACACACACACACACACACACACACAGTCACACATGCACGAAGTGGTGCGTGCAGCGGCTAACTCTGGACAATGAACACTTGGAATGCCACAGCGTCGTTGTCAACTATTGCCACCTTTCTATTGTTGCCAGTTTTTGTTTACAGTTTTTAAGAGCGAGGCGCATGTGGAAAAAATCAGTGCATACTTTCAGGTGCAGCGGCTGTCATAATACAATACAATGCATAGCGGTGGATAGGCAGACGGTTGGGCAGGGGGCGCGACGTTGTACGCTTCTGTTTGTGCGCATTGTGCGCGCTCTGACTTTGAATTAGCCTTTGGCTCGCTGTGCTCCACGTTGGCCACACACACGCACACACACTCACACCCTTACACACAGGTAGACTTCATCCATGTCAAAGTGCTGCATGCTTGCAGGCAGCAGCAGCTTTGTCACAAATTCTCTGTGTGCTTACCTGAGCGCGCGCCTGTGTGTGTGTGTGTGTGCTTGTGTGTGTGTGTCTGTGTGTGGAGGGGTCCAGCAAGTTTGGTTAGTTGACTTTTTAAAAACCATAGCACACACTTGTGCTGTCATTTGGTGAAGCATCTTGCAACTGAGCTGCAAAATATTGTTGCCTACTTCAAGGTAAGCTCTGCGCAATAACGTCTATTTAAGTTTTAAATTTGTTTTGAAGCTGCGTCTACTTCGGTTCTATTTTCCAGGCATAAGTTATGGACTTATTTTCATGGACATTATCTAATAGAAAAGACTTGTCAAATGTAAGCTCCACTTTGGCATCAACA